ATGCGAAAAAAATGAAAAATAAAGAAAAACATTGCAATTGCAATATCAGAGAAACACTAGTTCCGTTTTGACCTTGAGTACAGGTAACATCTCAATGAATTTAATCTTACATTTCCTTGCTTTCAATCCTGCAAAATCATCTATCACGTCAAAACCAATGATTTTCCCCATATAGGCCTACCTGTACTCTGTAATCATATAATAGGCTGCAGCACTGTTTTGTGCATTAGTGTCACCTTCTTTAGGGGCTCTATGGTGTCACCTGGGGCGCCCTCTCCCCCTTACGACGCCACAAGTTACAGAACGAATGACAATCTTACTACTTTATAATGCAATTAACATATGGCAAGTACTAATAGTCTAGTTGCCAAACTTTTTTTTGGCAGAGTATGGAATTTTGTGCATAATTCTTTTCAGTATATTTCGAGTCCTTTAGGTGCCTAGATTGACAATCGAGTGAGTATCACTGTCACTCATGAGGAATCAGAAAAATCGAAGATGGTTGCCAAAGCGGTCACTGATTACCTGTGAATTCACATACAAATAAATTAGCATGAATGTTGAGTACTGTAATCAAATAAGTTTCGTATTTTGTTTTTCAGGTTAAGGAGAATAATTTTTATGCTCTAATCATGACTGGACGAGTTAATATATGAGAATGTACTTTGGTTACCGGTTTAAAACCGATTAGTATTCACAAGGCGGGAGATTTATTTTAAAAGCCTTACATTCCTAGATTTTTACTCTTTTTAGATACAGAGTAGACGAAAATAGATGTGCATCATTTTTTTTAGTACAGTAATATAAGTTTTTCTTGTCTTTAGAAAGAGGTGAATGATGACTTCAGAATGCTTCATTTGTATTAGTCCCTGAGAAAATCAATTAGTGAATTCACAAGTCCCTAGTGTACGAAAGGTCTTTATTAATAAAAGTGACTGTTTTATTTACATACATGACAACACAGAGGGAGAGAGAGAGAATGACCACAACAGTTTTGATGGAGCCCACTAGTCAAGGACGTTAATTAGTTTACACATGTGCCAATATTGCGAAATACAGACAAAGCTTCACAACTGTCAGTCAATGCGTTCACTGGTTATGGTGCGATGGTATGTTACTGTGGCATAGATAAAATTAAGGCTGTAGGGGCTCTTCAAACAACCGGAAATCATCTGAAAATTCTAAGAGATTCTTTAGTAGACAATGAAGGTGTTATTCACGAATTAGCAGCCTTCACTGCCTAGCTATGGACAGCCCTATGAGGCTGGAGAAACCACGTCACATATCCACTACAAAGTTTGCTCTTAAGGACAGGTGCATATCTTTTCCCAAAATTTAAAACTGTCTACGACTGTGAGACATTGTGAAAATGAGAAGACGGTATATTTTCAGACATGCTGCTCTGGATGACGAATTTCCAGACCTAGAATCAGTGAAATTTGCGTGAGAGAAGGACAGACTTATCAGAGACTCTCTCTAGTGTCCTTTTATCTTAGGATGTTTGGGTTGCACAGAGGTCCTGAAATGGTCCACTACAGCTCCAGCAGTGCTCAGCCCTGCTAATTTCTTAGATGTGGATATGTAGTTGCTCATCTTTCTTGCTCTGTTTTACAAATTTGACGGATCTAACAACTGTTCAAACTATATGACATAGAACAATCTGGAAGATGAGAAGTACATGATAATGGAAATGATATTTTGAAGGATTTAGTTTAATATCTTAATTATTAGTTTAGAGTTAGGTTTTTTTTTAATGTTAAGGTGTCAGTTAAGAAAACTATAGTTTCTAGCGTGATTCTAGTTTAGTTCTCATGACATTGCTTTGGCACTGGAAGAGGTAGTCTTAGCAGTGACTAAATATACAAGGTGCAATCAAAAAGGTCCCATACTCGAATTTTCGTGCGCTTCCTAGGTGGAATATCCCCACGGCGTAGATCACCCTGTGCAATACATTGCTTTGTGAAGCAGCGTGGTGAGTTTTGATTGCGGACGGTCGTTCGGTTGGTTAGCCAGACATTTTTTTGTCGTGATGGCAGTGCGTGCGTAAGTCCAACCTCCTCTACCTCACTGCACGCAAAAACGAATAATGAAGTGGTCATAAAATTCTAATGTAGCAAAATTAAGGATATGTATGTGTATTCATTTTTTGCATATGTATTTTTAATATCCAGGTATTAAAAATTTTAATGCACGGGTATTAAAGGTACCCCTTTCGGGGATGCCTAATTAGTGTTAATCATATTGCATTATCAATCTGAGTAGCATCTGTAGATACATGGCAAAATGTTTGGTTAATGTTCCCTGAATCTTACACAGTATAAACACAGTCTAGAGCACTTTCCTTCACTTGCCTAATGCAAGGGACACTGTGAAGGCGTCTCTCTCTCAATATCCGTTACCATTACTTTATGATCGGGATGGCAGGCATCCTCTACATCAAATTTTTCTGGAGTCATTCTACCAGCATCCATATCCCTAAAAAAAAAAACGTTACCTAAAAAAATTAAAATACTCAATATTCATATTGATCTGTACAGTATATCCGAGTATTCATTGATGACTGGCAACCACCTTGGCAGGAGTGACACTGGATGATCACTGTAGACATCGCAAAGGTTCAATATGAACTAAAAACAATCATGCACCATAAAAGTTCAGGTACATCCATCTTTGCACCAGGCTATATAACGAATATGTGTCACCAATATCACCGTGGAAGGAACTAACATATTCCCAGGGGAAACATAAAGGCAGAGATCCATGCGTGTGTCTTTATTCCCAGAAATTCTCAAGGGTACTGAACATGTGTGTGTGTTGTAGACCTCCATTTTTCATTTTTCATGCAGGAATAAGTTAATTGCAGAGAATATTTGTGTATATTCGTTTGTGTTTGAGTACGTGTTTTTCCCAGTTTGTGTAGGGAAAGGGAAGGATTTAATATAGTCATAAAATTCCTATTCATTATCTACAAAATGAGATTTCGCTCGGTTCAGGTAATTTAAAAAAATGGTAATTTAATTCATAGCACTACTAAATAATTATCATTTGATTACCTGTATTTAAACAAGATAGCATCGTTGGCGAGATCAAAAATAAAGAAGGACTGAGTAGTGTATGTGAACTTCACCTGACAACTATGGATCCTCTACGTTCAGATTTCTCGTGGTGATGGTGAGCTGAAGGAGCGTGGTGGTGGTGGTGGTGGTGGCTGCTACCTGCTGCTGTTGTCGTCTTATCCGTTTTCTCCGAGAGAGAACCTCGTCTCTCAGATCTAAACTTATCCAGGGCACCGCGCTCCAGCTGCAGGGACTTCCGACGGAGCTCACGAAACATGTTTCCTTTACTCACACTTCCACAACCTTCCCTTGGCACCTCTCTCTCCACCTGTTTCCCGTCTTGCACCAATCTCTCCAGCTATGGCAAGTGACTGAGACAGTGGTGCGGAGGGGCAGTGGCTACTAAGTTGTTGAAGTGCCCGACCTGGGCGAGTGATGTGGTCCGCAGTGCATCTCCAAAATTCATGTTTATCAAGTACACACACACCACTAACAACCTAAACACTAACACCGTACAATCTTCGCATTTTTGCCTTGTTTTCGTTACTTAATACATAAAAGGAAGATAAACAATAATGCATACGCGCAAAGGTTTCCGACAGCAAACATTTATATGTTGTAGTTGGTGTAGGAACTGCAGAAAGAAGTGTGGGTGAAGAAGGATAAGCACACTCCAGCCTGTAACAGATTATACCAATACAGATATTACCACCAACATCAATGAACAATTTAAGCATGTTGCAACTAAGGTTGGTAACATTTTACAAGATTAAATAAATATATATATATATATATATATATATATAATATATATATATATATATATATATATATATATATATAGGCAGGATTTACTGCAAATACATGATAATTTGTAAAGATAGTGCGGTATCTGAATGTTGCAACAGGGAAGGATTGAGTTGATATTACCAATAACGAGTAAACTAGGTTGTAAAATAGTACGTGTTAAACATCCTTATCGGAACAATCTCAGTCTAATACGGGGTTTTTGCACGCATTACAAAACGGTCGAATATGCTGAAATATTCGCGGCAGTTGTAAGAAAAAAGAGTTTCCTAATTACATTACTGATGTAGTATATTATGACAGTGGGTGTGTTTATCCGGCTGCTGTTACATCCAATTAACAACCTCCCCCCCATTAACATAGTTTAGGTTAACTTAGGTTAATGTAAATGAACCTAACCTTGATGTAACAACGGTCGGGTAAACAACCACCACTTGTCTGAGTGCTAATAGATACATCGCAAGAGAGAGAGAGAAAAAAAACTTGCGTATCGCCTCGCGTCAATTTTCTAATGTAATGTAATGAGTGGAAAAGCGAACATTTATAAATAAGGTTTGAGATAAGACATACTTAGAAGACGGATGCAAATCTGACTCTTGAGGGGCCATGAAAACGGACAATAACAACCTGACTGATCAGAAGCTGGGCCCAGATTTGCGGCCTTGTAGTCGATTCCTAGGGCACAATGAACCCAGGAATAAACTACTACTGACTTAGCTGAAGTGATATTTGAATGATCTACATGGGTTTAGCGCCTCTTGAAATAAAGAAATTAGAGATAAAAAATGTTCGTGCCCCCCTCCCCCACAATCTTAGTGCATCACTTCTCTGTAGAGCAACAGCAAAGAACAAAAGTGAGTGCTTGGAAGGGATGAGTTGAGAAAGGGAGAGGAGGGAGGTAAAGAGAAGATGCAAGAAGCAGAGAATCGATAGATAAGGTGATAATACAAACCGGGCCCCAGTGGCTGCCTGTCGCGGAATGTGATGCAGACACCGTAGTGGCGGAAAATCATCAATAATTGCAGCAAGACTGAGAATATGAGAAGCAGCAGCACCAACACAACTATTTAACAGTGCCCAGAGAAGGTAAAAAAAACATGATGAACAACTATAGCAATAAGTGTCACCAGAAGCAATATCATAGTCAACAACAAAACAATCAGCAGTAATGCTAAGAAAATCATCAACATTATAGTTTCACCGATAACAACATTAATAGTAACAATTAGTAATAGTAACAGTAGTACCAGTAACAGCAGCAGCACCACATACTCCATACGTAGCTAATTTGGATATTTTCATTTTTTTCCAGAAGTTCTTATATATACATAAACTCTCAGCCCCCTCCCATCATAATTAAAATACTCTCGCTACACTTTTAAAAAGCCAATTTCTAGACGTTTCATAATGTATCAATATTACATTTCGATCCAATATAATTTTTGAAATCAAGTGACAACATTTGACACGGCGTCTGCTGCCTCCTCCAGCATCTCCCTCAGCCCCTCCAAATAAACTATTTGCTTTCCTAACTATTTTAGGACTACGTGGTTTATTTTTCTTCGTTATTATACTGACCTTGTATATGTTGCTCGCTGCTTCATTCTTACTCCCGCTAACAAGAAAAAAGAAAAAAAAAAACATTTTGCACAGGTATCCCCTAGACGACGTTTAGGTTCGTTCTGAACCATTACCAGTCACAAATGTTGCTTTCATCTTCCAACCATCGTATTCTAAATTTTACTCTTTAGTTCGTTGTTCAAGGTCATTTTTGTCTGTTAATTGCAAACTTCAGAAAAAAAGTTTTGGATCCGAAATATCAGATTTAATCAATGCAAAATGAATTAGTTGCCTATAAATTGACCGGTAATTTAAATAGCAAATAAGAATATTAACAAAGACTAACAAAGACAAAAATAAATAGTATAATACTAGAAAATAATAAAATACTACGTAGTAACGTTCAGATATACACCAAAAGAATAATATATTAATATAACTGTCTTTTTAAACAATTTGAACCAGTCACTAGCCAAAATCTATGGGATGAGTTCAAACATCTTATACAAATCAGGGCGACAAAGCACACAATATGGGCATGACAAGGATCCCCGACAACAATAACCATAAAAACTAGACCATGATTTAACATGGAAACAATTCTTTCTTTTTATCACATCGGCGTCTCCCACCAAGGTAGGACAAAAAAAAAAATCGCTCATTCGTTGATTGTTTTGTATTGCTAGTTGTATGCAGAATGTAGATATTACAAGTCAAATAGTTCTTCAAGCTGTAACATCAGCACTCCTTCGGTCCGACTAGTCGGTTTTTCCCTAAATCACTTCATTTTATCTTGCTCACACTTAACAGCACGTCAAATAAATCCTAAAACCACTTGTCTTTTCTCTCTCTCTCTCACACACTCACACACACACACACACACACACAACACACACACACACACACCACACACACACACACACACACACACACACACACACACACACACACACACATATACTGCTGAATGCTCGCGTCCCCTATCACAAAAAAAAAACCCCCCTTAAAAACCCCCTTCCAACCCTTCCTGGGACCATCCATACTCCACCTTCCTTCCACCTCGGATTTATTCACTTTCTTGGTCAACTTATCGTGTTCCATCTAATAAAGTGTATAAACTTGTTGGGACTGGGAATACTCTGACAACAACGACTCTCTTCATATTCAATTTAAACGCTCTCCCCTCACACACCGAGTGCCCGTGGTTCAATTCCCGGCAAGGGTGGCAACGGTGAATACGTTTCTTTATACCTACTGTCCCTGTTCACTTAGCAGTAAGTACCTGAGTGTTAGTCGACTGGTGTAGGTCGTATCCTGGAGGGCAAGATTGAAGGACCCCAATGGAAATAAGAGACTGTCCCCGATGACGCACTGACTTGGGTTATCTTGTTTCAACGGTAGGTAGCTAACCCTCCAGGTTAAAAATCCAAACAAATCTTATATTAATCTTAACTTGACGGACCTAGCCTTAGGAGATCGATGATCCATCAACACGGTACCGACACCAACATGTGGCGTAAATGACACTTAGATTCAGCCGATACCTTTATTAACGACTATTAACAAACAAAATTCTCATACTTCACTAAGTATTAGACTGTAATGAACATCTACCCAGAGCTCTCCAGTTATAAACAAACTTTTAACTAAGGAAACACCCTGCCTTATATCTCAGTTCCGGACACTGTTTTCAATACATCATTTGAAATAATTTTCACATTGTTGAAACTAAATGGCAATATTATCAACTTGATCTTTGCAAATGCAGTAATTCAGACATTTTTCCATGCCTTCAGATAATATTGCTCGTAAGGTCTGTACAAAATCTTACGTCTGTGTAATATTATCCTCAAATGGAGGTTGAGAAATGTTTCCTCAGCTCCTTTGTACCTGCATACCTGTAGCCTTTATTTTGATACTGTTCCTTCACGGGACGAGTGTCCTCACTAGGATACTACGATTACGCTGAGACGTTGTTTCCCACTTGGCAGAGGATCAGGCCTCCGCCACACGTTTCAGATTGTATAATAATTGACAATATCGCTTCTTAGTACCCGATACAAAGATTTTAAAATGTGTGAAACTGGCGCTATAACTGCCACCTTTGTGAAGTAGGGCAATATCAGTTGTTTCTATATGTCCGCCCAGTAAATTAGCTACTTTTATGAGGATACATTCTAAAAAAAAAATTTAATTAAGTTGTGAAAGGCACTGATAAGGTGAGTAGTCGTGAAAAGGATACGACCAGGACACACCAAGCTATACACACGAATGAAGAGGGGAAGGGGAGAGGAGCGGGCTTTCAAATGAGCCGAGGTAGTTAAGTATGTTAACCTAAGCCTGTAAAAGTAGGAACCATTAACCTAACTCTGTAAAACCCTTGTGTAATTTGAGAGAGAGAAAAGAGAGAGAGAGAGAGAGAAGGGGGAGAGAAGAAGAGGAGAAGAAGGAGAGAGAGGAAGAGGAGAAAAGGGGGAGAGAGAGAGACAGACAGCAGAGAAGACAACAGAGAGAGGAGAGAGAGAGGAGGAGAGAAGAGAGAGAGAGAGAGAGAGAGAAAAGAGAAAGAGAGAGAGAGAGAAGAGAAAGAGAGAGAAAAGAGAGAGAGAGAAAAAAGAGAGAAGAAAAGAGAGAAGGAAGAGAGAGGGGAGAGGAGAGGAGAGACAACAAGACACAGGACAGAGACTTATACAAGCCCCACGACCTACACCCCTGCAGCTGCCTCAGTCCCCTACCTTCTAAGGGGAGGCACCTTTCATGCCCTCACACCCACCCCCTCAAGCTGACCCCCCATCATCATGGGGGCCAGTCATCGATCCTGTCGGCCAACTTTTGGGGTTTTATTGCTAATGTTGGAGAGCTCACAACCCGTTTTGTAATACCGACGTCCCTCATATAGTGTTGTTGAAACATTTTTGGATTTCAGGACTCCAGAAAATTTTTTAAGAATTTTCTGCTACCCTCAGGATGAGAAGAGACAGCAAGGGCAGGAGGGGGTTTCTGTGCTTCTCCCAAAAAATGTTTAGCCCAGCCTTGGTTTTCCCCCCTCCACAAAGGGTTTTTTCAACCTGCAAAAAAAAAAGACCCCCGACTACATTCAAGCAAAACCCCATGGCCTGCAGACCCCAACTTTCCCAAAGGAAAAACTACCCCCCCCCTACAACACAAACGCAAATATCATTAAAGTTTTCCCAACACCTAACAAGGGTTTTGAATTCCCAGTTTTGAATAAAAACCCGGAAAATTTTCCCACCACAACCGGTCCCCCTTACCCTATGAGTTATCTGGCGAAACATACCCAACCCCAGGCATTTGGATCGTCT